TTGTCCTGAGATCAAGTCCTGAGTCGGGTTCTGCACTCAATGGGAAGTCGTTTGAGAATTCTCTTCCTCTGCTTCTCCCCCAACTCACATGCTCTCTATCTTCGCCTCTTTCAAAGAAATAAATATTTAAAAGAAAAGAAGAAGGAACATACCTTAACTTAATAAAGGCCATATATGAAAACCCACAGATATTTTCATCGTCAATGGGGTAAAACTGACAGATTTTCCTCTACAGTCAGAAGTAAGACTAAGATATCACTATCACCACTATTATTTAACACAGTACTGGAAGTCCCAGCCATAGCAATTGGAAAACAAAAAGAAATAAAAGGCACCTAAACTGGCAAGGAAAAGGTAAAACTTTTGCATATGGCATGATACTATATATAGAAAATCAAAAAGTCTCCACAAAGAAAAAGAAAAAAAAAAACCTGCTAGAAGAGATAAACAGACTCAGAAAAGTCACAGTATAGAAAATCAATGTACAGAAATCAGTTTTATTTCTACACAGCAAAAAATGAAGCAGCAGAAAGAGAAATTAAGAAATCAATCCCAATTACAATTGCACCAAAATCCATAAGATACCCAGAAATAAACTTGACCAAAATGTGTAAGGCTTGTACTCTGAAAAGAAAATATTGATGAAGATGATGCAAAGAAATGGAAAGACATTTCATGCTCATGGATTAGAAGAATAAATATTGTTAAAATGTCTATATTATCAAGAGCATTCTACACATTTAATGCAATCCCTATCAACATACCAACAGCAATTTTCAAGAACTAGATCAAACAATCCTAAAATTTGTATGGAATCCCAAAATACCCTGAGTAGCCAAAGCAATCTAGAAAAGGAAAAGCAAAAGTGGAGGCATCACAATTCCAGTCTTTAAGTTATATTACAAAGCTGTAGTGATCAAAAGAGTAAGGTACTGACAGAAAAACAAATACATAGATCAAAGGAACAGGAGACAAATCACAAAAATGACCCTATAAACATATGATCAATTAATCTTTGACAAAGTGGGGAAAAATGAGTAATAAAAAAAGGCAGTCTCTTCAGCAAATGGTGTTAGGAAAACTGGACAGCAACTTGTGAAAGAAACTGGACCACTTTCTCACAACAAACATAAAGATAAACTTAAAATGGACTAAAGACCTAAATGTGAGACATGAAACCTTTAAAATCTTAGAGGTGAACGCAGGCAGTAACTTCTTTGACATAGGATGTATTGAATTCTTTCTAGATATGTCTCCTGAGGCAAGGGAAACAAAAGCAAAAATTAAGTATTGGGACTACATTACAATAAAAAGGTTTTACACAGTGAAGGAAAAAATGAGCAAAAGTAAAAGGAAACCTAAGGAATTGGAGAAAATATATGCAAATTTATATCTGATAAAGGATTCCTATCCAAAATATATAAAGAACTTATAAAACTCAACACCACAAAAAGGAATAATCCAATTAAATATAGACAGAAGACATGCAGGGATATTTTTCCAAAGAATACATACAGATGGCTAACAGACACATGAAATTATGCTCAACATCACTCATCATCAGGTAAATGCAAATCAAAAGCACAGTAAGATATCTCCTCACACATGTCAACATGGCTAAAATCAACAATGCAACAAACAAAAGTTGTTGGTGAGGATGTGGATGAAGGGGAACACTCTTGTGCTGTTGGTGGGAATGCTAACTGGTGCAGCCACTCTGGAAAACAGTATGGAATTTCCTCAAAAATCCAACAATTGTACTACTAGGTACTTATCTAAGGAATATGAAAATACTAATACAAATGGATACTTGTATCCTGGTGTTTATAGCAACATTATCTACAATAGCTAAATTATGGAAAGAATACATCAACTGATGAATGGATAAAGAAGTGAAAAAAAAATATATATATATATATATATATATACTGTGATATATTATTCAGTCATAAAAAGATAATAACTTGCCATTTTCAATGACCTGGATGGAGCTAGAGAGTATTATGTGAAATGTCTTTTGGAGAAAGACAAAATCCATATGATTTCTCTCATATATGGGATTTAAGAAATAATACAAATAAGCATATGGAAAAAACGAGAGTAAGGCAAACCAAGAAACAGGCTTTTAACTATAGAAAACAAATTGGTGATTACCAGAGGAGAGAGTGGTGGAGGGATGAATTAAATACATGATGGGGATTAAGGAGTCCACTTGCTGTGTTAAGCACTGGGTGTTTTATGGAAGTGCTGAATCTCAAAGTTGTACACCTGAAACTAATACTATATTGTCTGTTAACTAACTGAAATTTAAATAAAAACTTTTAAAAATCTGTAAATATAAATAGAGAAGACATGTTTTTGTTTGAATAATCCCCATATCCTCCAAATAGTAGTATATGAAAAAGTTTTGATATGTAGTTTTGCCCACTTCCTATGGGATTCTAACAGATGGAACTGGAAAGTGCTCTTCACCAAGAAGCATACTGAAAAATTTCTGCTAAAATATACATCAAATGAGGTGTGAAATTTCTGTCCTTATAGCTTAGTATCATATTGATAACTGTTCTTGAAAGGAGTATTAGAAATTTCAATATATGAACATCCAATTGGCAATTAATTAGAAAGTTTTTATTATGTAATTTCCTTTGAATTATTTCTAAAACTATAGTTACAATTATGTAATAATATTTTTGCAAAAAATAAACAAAACATGGCAACAATATTAAAAGCCTCTCAGTATTCACAGATATCAACTCCTTAAAAACAGAACAAAAGAAAACATTTTTTATTCATTTCCCTAGCATCATCTGATAGAAATCTACATCTATAAATCCATAGAAAAATTTTATCAAAGAGCATTCAAAATAAATCTATTGGTTTCAACTGACTTTGTTCAAAATAATTATATGAAAGTAGATCCAACTTTTATATTTGGTAAGACTTAAATAAGCATGTTATCTAATAACAACTTTTAAAAAGCAGTACACGATTTTATGTTGTAAAAGTTCTGACTCTAAAGTTGCATATGAAAGAGTCAAATTAGCAGTAAACAAAAATATAGTTCTCTTGCTTTAATATGTTAAAATATTTGGATTATTTAAGAAGATAATTATCCTTTCCATTTCCATCATCATCACCACCAATAATCAAATGCTAGTTAGGAGCTCCTCCCTAAGAGCCTCTTCACTCTAAAATCATGGCAAAGCTACCAAATGTCCGAAGTATTCAACCAAAATGTAGCTGGTTCACTCTGAGTAGTTATAATTAAGAAAACTGAATAAATGCATTATTGAAAAGCTATAAACATGCCTCTTCTGAAAGTAGTTTTTCATCATTTCAAAGCAAGTACTTTAAACTATACTTGGTTTCTTAATAGTTTTCTAATTTTGTGTGGGGTCAAATTTACTTAGTAGTCACCCAATTTCAAAATCATGGGATAATTATTCCACCTTTTAAATATGTTCATATATTTTTTTCTCAAAGATAACTGTGTTTCCTTGTTTAGCCTCTGATCAAATATTCAAACAACAAAATTTTGGATTAACTGTGATAGACTGATCTATTGAAGGCCACAATCTTTGTAGGAAGCATACTTTTATTTGGCCATGTAAATAAGTATGGAGTTCAATAAAAAATTATCAATTTTTCTTGTCCTTTCCTACAACATTTATACCACAAATTTTCCTCATTATTTTAAAAATCCCCAAAAGTGGAAGCTAATTTGAAATGAAACAAAAATATCCAGAATCTCGCATTTCCTCTGCATTTCTTTCACATTCCTCCATGTACATCTATTACAATCATACCAGTATTACTAAGGTCCAGTTCAAATCCAACAACTGTAATGCCTTTCGTGATCCTTTCCCCCTCTTTTTGACAAGCCAGGTATAATAAGTCCCTCCTCTAAATTCCTATAATACTTGTTGATATTCCTTGTCATTCATCACAGTCTATCTTGTTAGTTCAAGTTAAATGGGTACTTGTTGTTTGTGTCACATTTAGTTTGTGAGTACTGAAAGTGAAGGATTATGTCTTCTTTACCTATATCCCATGTTGCTCAATACAACATGTATATTTCAAGGGTATAATATTTCTTTCATAAATAAAAGAACAAAGTTACAAGTTAATGGGTTGCTCTTATTAACTACACTCTTTTGATCTTACATACCCTTACATTATCTCCTTACCAAAAGAAAAATAAATAATAAAGTTAACATGATACTTGGAGAGAGAGCAAGAGGCCCTATGCCAAACTAATAGAAGACATCACGACAGATTATAAAAAAAATATTTGTGTTTCATTACCCAATGGTCATGAAAGTTTGGGGAAAAAAGTATTCTAATGTTGATAATGATAATTCTGTAAATTATCATAAATATTTGCTTAATGTTTAACAGTATTTAACCTATATTTTACTCAAATTATCTCTGGATAGCCAATTAAGTAAGTGGGATAGATTATTAGTATAACGTTTAGTATACAGTTGAGGAAACAAGCTCATCATGCAGATTAACTGTCATATCCAAGGTTGCTGAGAATTAGAATTAAAACTTAGAATCAGAATTAAATTAGAATCAGAATCAGAATTAAAACTTAGGTCGTTCTGACTTCAAGTCCTACATAGTATATACTACCCCAGAACTGCCACCTAAACATCAAAAAAATGCACAGTGTTTACTTTATTTCACTCTAACAATGGTAATCATTTTTGTACACTATTCTACTGTGCCATTAGTCTTGCTATGCCTCCCACCCACTCTGCTTGTGATTGCAAGACATGAAGCTAGAATTAAAAGTGAGAGCTGTAGTCATGGAATAAAAAGAAACAAACAACAAAACACCTAAGCAGGCCAAGTCAGAAATATAATCAATACTATATGTTAACCAATTGAGTCAATGAGCTGTGTGTTTATACTGAAGACTCAGTGGTATTGCTAATATTTCCTCAAAATTTACATGTAACCAAAACCTGTGTCTTCTTCCAAATAATAATTCTTACCTTTATAACAGAAGCCCCAGCTCTGGAGAGTGGACTGTGAATCTGGGCTGCAGCAGCCATGTTGGCAATATTATTGAGATGGTTCATCTGATTCATTGCCATGGCAACTGATGCAGGAGGTAAGCTGACTGGAAGTAGGGGATGAGGCATCATCATAAATGGCAGATCCAGTCCTAAAAGAGACAGTGCCTTTTAAATTATTACATTTAGAAAAGGGAAATCACATCAAAATTGATGTTTTTTTTTAAAGTATCTGAATTCATTCTTGTTGGCTTTTCTTTTAAATCAAGTTTCATTATATCCTAGTATCTCTTTGGGCAATTAATGGTACTTAGGATTTAATGTTGCTTTGTACTTTAAAAAAAATATTTGTATATCCATAAACTTTCATCTCTTCCTTTTTCTTGCTCTCACCATCAAAATATTTATATGACACAATTCGTTTTACTTATAAAAATAAATAAAAATCTTTAAGCCAAACATCGTTTTGTTTAATAAGAAGTAGCTTTCTTTTTAATGTTTATAATATATTGATGTGTTAGTAGCTTCTAACTTAACACCTTCTTTAGAAAATATAGTTGTGGTGCTGCTAAGACAGGATGTAGATTCTCTAGGCTTCAGAATTATTAAAGAAAATAAGACTTGGAATATGTTCTTTTTAAAAAAGATTATATTTATTTATTTTTGTTTTAGAGAGAGAGTGTGTGAGTGGGGAGAGAAGCTGAGGGAGAGAGAATCTGAAACAGACTGCACTGAGTGTGGAGCCCAATGCAGTGCTCAATCTCATGTCCTTGAGATCATTACCTGAGCAGAAACCAAGAGTTTGATGCTTAACTGACTAAGCCACCCAGGTTCCCCTTGGAATAGGTTCTACCTTTTAGTTATAATCTCTAAAATGAGTGCTGTAGCTCTAATTTGAAACCTTTATCAATAAGGAGTAACTCCCCTACCAAAATATTCCACCAATTTTCAGTTTAATAACAAATACCAATATCATTGAGTAGTATCTAGAATTCTGTTTGTTTTCATATGCAAGGTGAAAGAGTTTTTATGTATTTTTAATTTTTTAATGAATATCTTTGAAGTATTATCCACATTACACTTGTAGTAGTTGCAGATATGTCATCATGAAAAATGTAGCAAGTTAAAATAGTAGTCTACTCACTCTTATGAGGTTTGGATTTGTGAGGACACATCTTTGAGCAGAGGTTAGGAAGGATTAGCCTAACATTATAGATACTAAGATCACTCTGATATGTAAATGATAGTACTTTACAATGAACTATTGCCTCAACAATAATCTTTACTTTATTTGGACAGAAGCCCAGAAACCAGTAATCTTTAACAGATGTTCTGAAACATCTTTGCCTATAATTTTCCTAAATTATTACAGATTATAGAAATCTACAATGGACAGTGTTTATGTTGATCTCACACACAACTATCCACTCTTAATAATATTATTTTATCCTCTTTGCCATCCCCTCATTTTTTTCTTTCTTCAAAAATCACAACTGCTAGTGAACAACAATTAATCAATAGGAAGTATTTCCAGAGTCTGCCTAAATCTCATTCCTCAAAACAACAGTAACAGTAATACAAATTCTCAAAACACATAATTTTAGGACAAAAAGCAGGCTAGAAAAAAAATGCTGTTACTTGATTTGAGGTCTGTCTCCTAGGCTCAACAATGATGGTTGAATTAATGCCATTAAAAACAACAATAACAAAATATCAAAAGTATGCAGTACAATAAAGCACACTTAACAGCTCTCATACAACACTAAAGTGATCATCTCAATTGAACGAATTCCTATATAAAGAACACAACAGTCACCAATATTTGTGATTTTAAAAAAACAGCCATAAAATGTACTTTTAATAGAAATTCACAAGGGTTTAAAAAAAAGTTAGAAACCTAAATTCTGCATGGAAACCAAGAAGGAGAACATACTCTTACTTCCTATAACTGCAAATCCCCTAAACTTTCCCTCTACCAATTGACTTATGGCTCACTATCTCTAAATCCTTTCAGGGAATAAGCTGCCAAACACAACATTTCTGTTATAAAATTTCCTTCTGTGATTATTAATTTATTAGAGAAGCATCCATACAGTGTTAAGACTGAATTAAAAAATGGCCTCTGTTCTTCATGAAAATTTTCCCAATTTCGCAAATGGAACCAGCATTCATGTACTACAGGCAGAACGAACTCCCCCCCAAGATTTTAGATTCCAAAAAAATATCAAGGCACCTGATAGTAAAATTGAAAAATCATAATTGTAGATAAAATCTCTTGAAAGCTGCTAGGACAAAGAGGCTCCTTCCATACAGAGGAAAACCCATCAGAATAACATTGGACCTGTGCACAGAGACCTGGCAAGCCAGAAAGGGCTGGCAAGACATGTTCAGAGCACTAAATGAGAATAACATGCAGTAGAATACTTTATCCAGCAAGACTGACATTCAAAATGGATGGAGAGATAAAGAGTTTCTAAGACTGGCAAGGCTTAAAAGACTATGCAACCACCAAGCCAACACTACAGGAAATATTAAGGGGGGGTTCTATAAAAGAGGAAATATCCTACGAATAGCATTGAACAGAAATATAGAGACAATCAACAGAAAGAAAGACTTCAAAGGTAACACGATGTCAATAAAAATGTATCTATCAATAATCACTCTCAATGTGAATGGCCTAAATGTGCCCATAAAACAACACGGGGTTGCAAATTGGATAAAATGACAGGACCCATCCATATGTTGTCTACAAGAGACCCATTTTGAACCTAAAGATACACCCAGACTGAAAGTGAAGGGATGGAGAAGCATCTTTCATGCCAATGGGCCTCAAAAGAAGGCGGGGGTAGTGATTCTCATATCAGATAAATTAGATTTTAAAATAAAGACTGTAGTCAGAGATACAGAAGTACACTACATGATTCTTAAAAGGACTATCCACCAAGATGATCTAACAATTGTAAATATCTATGCCCCCAATGTGGGAGCAGCCAATTACATAAGAAAACTATCAATCAAGATAAAGAGTCATATTGATATGAATACATTAATAGTAAGAGAACTTAACATGCCTCTCTCAGTAATAGACAGATCATCCAAGCAGAAGATCAATAAAGAAACAAGAGCATTGAATGACACATTGAACCAGATGGGCCTCACAGATATATACAGAACATTCCACCCTAAAACAACAGAATACTCATTCTTCTCAAGTGCACATGGAACCTTCTCAAGAATAGACCACATACTGGGTCACAAATCAGGACTCAACTGATACCAAAAGACTGAGATCATTCCCTGCTTATTCTCAGATCACAATGCTTTGAAACTGGAGCTCAATCACAAGGAGAAGTTCGGAAGGAACTCAAGCACCTGGAAGCTAAAAACCACCTTGCTTAAGAATGCTTGGATCAACCAGGAGATCAAAGAAGAACTGAAACAATTCATGGAAACCAATGAGAATGAAGACACTTCAGTCCAAAACCTATGGGATACAGCAAAGGCAGTCCTAAGGGGGAAATACATAGCCACCCAAGCCTCCCTCAAACAAATTGAAAAATCCAGAACACAGCAGCTGTCTCTACACCTTAAAGAACTGGAGAATCAACAACAAATCAAACCAACTCCACACATAAGCAAAATAATCAAGATTAGAGCAGAGATCAATGAGGTAGAAACTAGAGATACAGTAGAACATATCAATGAAACTAGAAGTTGTTTTTTTTAAAGAATCAATAAGATCGATAAACCATTGGCCAAAAGAAAAAAGAGAAAGCCCAAATTAATAAAATTATGAATGAAAAGGAAGAGATCACAACTAACACCAAGGAAGTAGAAACAATCATCAGAAGTTATTATCAACAGTTATATGCCAAAAAGCTAAGCAACCTAGATGAAATGGATGCATTCCTGGAAAGCTATAAACTCCCAAAATTGAACGAGGAAGAAATCAACAACCTAAATAGACAGATATCTAGTAACGAGATTGAAGCAGTGATCAAAAACCTCCCAAAAAACAAGAGCCCAGGACCTGACGGATTCCCTGGGGAATTCTACCAAACTTTCAAGGAAGAAATAACACCTATTCTCCTGAAGCTGCTTAAAAAAATTGAAGCAAAAGGGAAACTTTCAGACTCTTTCTATGAAGCCAGCATTACCCTGATACCCAAACCAGGCAAAGACCCTACCAAAAGGAGAATTTCAGACCAATATCACTGATGAATATGGATGCTAAGATGCTCAACAAGATCCTAGCAAACAGGATCCAACAGCACATTAAAAAGATTATCCACCATGACCAGGTGGGATTCATTCCTGGGCTACAAGGATGGTTCAACATTCGCAAATCAATGTGATAGAACAAATTAATAAGAAAAGAGAGAAGAACCACATGGTCCTCTCAATGGATGCAGAAAAAGCATTTGACAAAATCCAGCATCTGTTCCTGATTAAAAAGCTTCAAAGTATAGGGATAGAGGGAACATTCCTGAACTTCATAAAATCTATCTATGAAAAACCCACAGCAAATATCATCCTCAATGGGAAAAAGCTTGCAGCCTTCCCGTTGAGATCAGGAACACGACAAGGATGCCCACTCTCACCATTCTTGTTCAACATAGTATTAGAAGTCCTAGCGACAGCAATCAGGCAACAAAGAGAAATAAAAGGTATCCAAATTGGCAATGAAGAAGTCAAACTCTCTCTCTTCGCAGATGACATGATTCTTTATATGGAAAACCCAAAAGACTCCACCCCCAAACTACTAGAACTCATACAGCAATTCAGTAACGTGGCAGGATACAGAGTCAATGTACAGAAATCAGTGGCTTTCTTATACACTAACAATGAAAATAGAGAAAAGGAAATTAGAGAATCGATTCCATTTACTATAGCACCAAGAACCTTAAGATACCTGGGAATAAACCTACCCAAATAGGTAAAGGATCTGTACTCGAGGAACTACAGAACACTCATGAAAGAAATTGAAGAAGACACAAAAAGATGGAAGACCATTCCATGCTCTTGGATCAGAAGAATAAACATTGTTAAAATATCTATACTGCCTAGAGCAATCTATACTTTTAATGCCATCCTGATCAAAATTCCACCGGTATTTTTCAAAGAGCTGGAGCAAATAATCCTAAAATTTGTA